TGAGTCACACCAAAATGAATTACACTATCTAAGTGGTTACTTACAGCATTAAGAACTAAGCCTTGGTCTTGCCTACTAAGAACAGAGAATATGGCTGAGGAGAAACTCAGAGACCCCAGAGTTTGCTCCAAAGGATAGGAAGGACCCTATCCTTCCCCCTAGGGCTCTGCTGTTCTGCTTCCCTACATCCCCTCAGAATTCTCTGACACTGATAACTCTCAGCTTAAAAACACTACTCTAACCCACTTGTGGATTGTTTTTAAAAAGGGACTTTGTCTCGTTATTTCTGCATGTCCAGCACCTACCCCAGTTCTGGCACAAAGCATCCCCTCAATAAATGCTGCATAAAGAAAGAAAGAATGAACACACACACAAATAAACCTTGTGAATCAGAAAGTCTTTACAGATTCTGAATTCTTTGGGGAAGGGTGGTAGGCAGGAAAGGAGAAAGAAAGGAAAAAGGGACTGGTATTTATTAAACAATTACAACCACAAGATGCTGACCACAGGGTTAGACTCTACACAAACGCTGTTGCATTTAATTTTGACACTGTCAAAAAGGGCCTGAGAGAAAGGAGAGGAGGGTAAGGTCCCCTTCCATCTGAAAGGGCTGTATCCCATCCCTTTCAGAAAAAGAAGCACAGTAAAAGAAAGTTTTATTCTGCAAAGAGAGAAATCCTTTTTTGGAGGGTTGTACAGAGGAGTCACCCCACGTTGGCAACACTGAAGTCTAATGGCTAAAGAAGTATGTGGATGAGGGTCCAGGAGAAGCACACAGGGCCAGGTGTCAGGAGAACCTTGGTGAGAAGCCAGTGACACTTTCTGGGTTTGTTCTCTCATCAGCAATGAGGGCAATAGCCTATATCCTCTCTAAGTCATTCGCATTACCAGGACCCCCTTTGTAGAGAATGTTTCCTATTAAATCCATCTTGTGTTTTTGTTTGGAAAGAATGAAAGACGAATGAACAAATGCACAAATGAAGACCTGAATCATCCAGGGAAGCCTCTGAAACATCCTCTTACCCCACCTTGCTGCTATTCCACACCCTGTGTGTAACTCCACTTTTCTACCTCCAGCCTCCACAAGGTGCACCCTTACAACTCCTGGGTGCCAAGGGAACCTGCTTCCCACTTCAAGATCCCTATCAGACTCAAAAGGACAAGCCACTGCCCTAAGCTCCCTTCCACTCACCACCTGCCAGACTGCACTGCCTGGGAGAGTCAGAGGGATTCTTCCAGGTAGGAAGATTTCCTTTTAAAACTGAGCACTTCCTGACTAGTTATCATTGCTGGTCTTCTTTCATCATGAACAATCCAGGGCTTAAGCTGGACAAAAGTCCTTGAGGGTGAAGTAGGCAGGTGAAAATACTCAAGGATTCCAAAAGCAACATTCAAGCCAAGCCCGGGGTATAGAGCACGGCAAAGCCTAGGCCCTGTATCAACCCCTGGCCAGGACGTGTTCCGTAGAGAGCATGTGGGAACAGAGAGTCAGGCCAAGGTTTCTTGCTCACTTTCTTGCTCTACAGATCAGGAGCCGTTACAGCAGAGGGGTATTTCTCAAGGCTCACTGTGAGACTTCTACCTTCAAATGGCAGCCCTTCCCCCAGAAATGGTTACCCTGCATTTTAATTACATTTACTTCCGTCGCTACCTTCTTTCAACCTTCCAAAGTCTCAGTTACCTTTGTATTTCCCCGAGCTCCTAGGTTTGGAACACATTCAGTCAATGTTAGCTGACAGATTGACTGAACAATGAACAAACATATATGTGGGTTATTATGAAAGTTTTGAGATACACACAATCAAGAAATGTAAAATCTGCATAGACAGAAACAAACGAAGTCCTCCCAGCAACACCAAGAAGCCGACAAGTTGAAACTTGCACAGGTGGATCAGGACACTACCCTGTTGTTTCTCGTAGTGACCCACGTATAACCCTTTCATCTTCTATAAGATCATGAGGGGCAGAGAAGTTAACCTATCCCAGGTCATACAGCCAATTACTAGGAGAGCCCAAATTGAAAGCCAAACTGAATCCTTAGCTCTTCCACTAAATGACGTGGAACAGGAGCTAATAGCAACGAAGCATCGACGGCAGGCTCTGTGCTGTGCGGCATAAGGCTGAAAGGGGGAGACGACCGTCCCCATTTTATAGACGAGGACACCATGTCACAGAGAGATGGCTCTCTACCTAGATGGCTCCTCACTCGTCCCTACCCACTCACTTCTGCCTGGACAGCAAAACTTCCTCATTCAGGCTTCAGCTTAGAAGTTGTTTCCTTGAGGAAATCTTTCTTTCCTAATTCTCCAGAATTTGGTAGGTGCTCCTCCTGTGCTATCCCAAAGTCTTCTCTGCTTTGTCCCTGTGGTGACATTTATGTAGTGCTGTCATTGATTGTTGCAGTCTCTCTCATAGAACTGAGCTCTTCAAGGCAAGAGAGCAAGGGCTGTATATCATGAGTATACTGAACTCTCACCACCAGGCAAAATGCCTGGCACACTGCAGACTGGTAAGTATCTGTGCAAGAAGAAAAGGTCTGAGAAAGGAAGGGGGAAAAAGATAAAAAGGAAGGAAAGAAGGTTTCCAAAGCTAAAGAGTTGGGAAGTAGGGAAGCTGGGATTTGAATCCTGGCTGTCTCTTTCCAAAGACCATATTCTTTCCACAAAAAAAAAAAAAAAAAGATGACTTCCTCTTAAGGGTAGAGACCCTTCTACTTAGAACTTGCCACATTACCATTCTCCAATCGACATGTGTTAACCAGTTGACTATAAGCTTTCAGGGACAGTGAGTATGATTTTCCAGGATCTCCCCCAGCCCGGGGGACACAGGGTGGGTGTTCCATGCATACTTGTGACTTGAACTGATGTATGTTCAGTCCATTCCACTGCGATGATGACAGTGACTCATCAGGGAAAAGCTAGCCACTGACCCTTACAATAACATTCAAGGCCTCTGGGATAGATGAGTCTGGAAAGATCAAAACGCTGAAACTATGGTGGAGTCAACTTCATCTAACTGTTTTAGGACAAAAAGAGGCACATAATAGTGTAAATTGCAGACGTCTTGTCTTATTGTCCAGAGGCTTAGGAGTAGTTTCAGAAGTTGAAACTCAGTTTAAGATCATGCAAAACAGGTAGTTTCTGTGGGAGGTGAAATGATAGTGTGAAGAGTTTTTGTTGGTAGTATGCTTCCCTCTCTCCTCCAAGAAGTTTACAAAAGACATAGCATTCAGAGCACAATAAAAATAAAAATTATTGGGAGGTGCCTGTGGCTCAAAAGGGTAGGGCGCTGGCCCCATATGCCAGAGGTGGCGGGTTCAAACCCAGCCCCGGCCAAAAAAAAAAACCAAAAAAAAAAAAAAATAAAAATTATTCATTTTAATATTGTGAAATGTTTTTTCTCTTTAAAAATTCAGTTCTCTCCCTACTCCCCCACCCTGACTCTAAGACCTATACGGCTTTCACAAATTTTTAAGTTTATGAGTTTTTTTTGAGCTTTTATTTTAATAAAGAACTTTAGTAACTTCTATAATTAAAAACCACATGTGATCTTGAGTGTCTCTGTGAACCTCTATAGGCTATGATTTAGGACAGTGGCCAAGGCAATGGCAGAGAATGGCCGAGTTGTGAAGCGGGAAATCCTGTCCATGAGTCAGGTGACTTGGTTTGAGACAGAGCCCTGCCTCTATCTCCCCACGTGACTCTAGGGAAGTCCCAACCTAGTTTCTTTCTCTATGACAAGGGCATGAAAAAGACTCTCTGATGACTCCTTGGGCCATTCAAAGATCTAATGAGACACTACCTTCGGGACATACTTTAAGAAGCAAAGACACCAACAAATATAAGACAGAGCAAGAGCACATTTATCTAAATAAATCAGAGGGGTAAAGCTTTACATATCAACATGTTATCTAGAGTACAACATTATATTTGATTTAAACTCCGGGGGATTGAACCTGTTTTTCTAGACTAGATTATTCCCTTTCTTAAGCAATACACACTGCCTCAGGGTTATTAATTATTGTCCTTGGGGGCTGTGGAGACCATGAACTTATATTATACTGATTTTCCCAATATTTACTGGCCTCTGTCTTTTACAATGCTGGATTCTTATGTTGTGGAAGAGTTCCTCCCTCTTTTCTTCTTTAGCAAGCAGTCATTTCTCCCTGCTGTTAGGACTGCTGCCTTTGAGATTTCCTCCACTCCTGCTTCTAAACCACAGCAAACCTGGTTAGTTCATACAAGAGACTAACAAGTTCTTCTGTGAGCAAACCAAAGGAGTTTTACACACCTTTAAATTCATCTTCCTATGGTCACGTGCCTCCCTGCTCAAAAGTTTTTTAATGATTCCCACTCCTACCAAACAAGTCTGGATACCCCACGCTGGTACTGTTTTCCAACATCTGCCCTCAGAATACACGTGCAATATTCATTCTGAGTATGCTGCAGGCATTTCCCATACCCCCGAGTCCCATCCTCGGCCTCCTCTTGCACCTTCAAACACTGCACAGCCATCAAGGCCCAGGTCAAGGCCCACCTCCTCCCTGAAAGTTTGCCCATACCCTTGATTACAAATAACTCTTCTACTCCCTGAACTCTCAGCATCCCCCTGGGGCATTTCTGGCTTGAAGTAATGCTTGTTTTTAGGCTCATGCCCAGGTCTCTTTACTATCCTGAAACTTCCTTGGAGAGGTTCCCTACAATCCCTGATACCACCTTTTGCTGAATGTAGATACAAACGACAAATACTTTGTCAGCTCTTGTTCTCTGGGCCATATTCCCCACTGTTCCATAGCTGAGGCTGCCGCACACATACACAAGCTCCCAGCTCATTCAGTGTGAAAGGGGGTGACTTCCTCGGAGTGACTGCTGAGCCAAGTGTCTGTCCTTCACTAGCCTCAGGGGTACTCGGCCTGCCTCTCCACCTTTTCCTCCTGGAGGAGGAGCTGCACTGAGTATTCCACCCACGTGGAGCGGCAGGAGGCCTGCTGGGGCACTCACCGCTGCCAAGCCGCAGGAGCAGCACGTCCTGGAGTCTGCGGTTGAGGTCGCGAAGCTCCTTCATTTCGGACACAAGTGCCCCGTACTCCTTGAGCTTCTTGGCCTGCTGCACCAGCTGCCTCCGAGTCCGCTCCAGCTCCTGCTGGAGATGGCGCATCTCTTCCTGCTGCTGCTGGTAGTTTCGCAGCAGCTCTTCATACAGAGCCCGGGGCACAACGGCATCCTCTAGACTGTCCATGTCCTCTGTGCCCGGCGAGGCCTCCACGAAGACCTCTTCTGGACACGTGCCGGGGCCCAGGCTCAGGCCGTTCTGCTTCTCTAGCCGGGCCACCACTGCCTCGATGCTCTTGTGCGCCACCTCACTCGGCTTCCGCCCCTCAGGTCTCTGTGTAGGACAACGAGAATCAGTTCAGGCAAGGGCAGCTGGGACTTTCTTGGACTGCAGCTCAATATTTCCCCAGACAATCCTAAAATCACAGAACCACAGAACATCAGTGCTTGTAGAAACTTGTGCAAAGACTTAGTCATAGCCCTTCATTTTACAAACAGAGAAACCGGGGTCTAGAGTGGGGAAGGGGTTCGCCCAAAGTCACAGCTGGCCATCAGCTGGTGGCAGAACCAGGACTCTGGTATCCCAGGGCAATGCTATTTCCATTCCTCCACTCTGTCTCTTAGATACATACACCACGACCACCCTTCCAAACTCTCCCCTAGCCCACCCACAACGCCTAGGCAGAGACTTGCTCATGGGGGTGTTCGATATGTATTTATGGAGAATGGGGAGAAATCAGGCCAGGCTAAGCCACCCAAGTGAAATCACACTGAAATCTCGTCAACAACAAAAACAAAAAGAATAAACAACAACAAAAAGGCATTCCATCATGCAATTCTTTTTGTCAAGAATGCTCTAGTTCAGAAGGATGTTAAAAACTCAATTCACTCTTATCTAGGGCAGGGACCACGTCTTATTTTCTCTGTTTCTCCCCTGCCTACTCAGAACTGGTACTCAGCAGGGGCCTGATAAACATTTACTCAACTGAAAAGTTCAAAGAATGTCAGCACTGAAAGGTACTTTCACTTTCACTTCCTCTTTTTATAGGTGAGGAAACCAAGGCCCAGACTCCACTCAGGGACACACGATAAGTTACAGACAGAGCCAGAACCAGAATTTGGAACCCTACTTCCAATACAAGGCTCTTTCTCCTACATCTGCCGGCCTTTCCCTCAGAAGACAGAGGATACAGAGAGGAAAGCTCATTTAGAAGAGAATTATCTATGACTGTCCAGGGTTTGGGGTTCAGCTGCCTGAGAAAATTCCAGTTCAAGTGGACACAGTTTCCACTGAGGGGCATTTGGACTAACTGAATTCTTTATCCAGGGGAGGAGGGTTAGGTGCTCTCCTGGCTGGGGGCACTTGTGGGAGGTGCAGAAAAATAAGGGCTTAAGATTCTAGATACCGCACACGAAGTTTCAGGAAACTTAAGAACAAAACCAAACCATGACTCTGAGATTGAGCTACATGGCAAAATCCTATGTCTTATCTGCTGGGATAAGGTGCTGCTAGTGCAGATGACTTTCTCAGCTAGAATTGTAATGGTCACTTTGGACATCTGTCTGCATTACCATACTGTGAGACCCCTGGAGGCAGGACCATATCTGGCTAATCTCTATGACCCCAGCAGGGGCGGGCACCATGCCAGGCCCACAGCAGGAGTGCAATGAATACCATGAACTGAATGCAACTGCATTTTTTGGACTACACCTTGGGAAGGTCCTTGGCCCTGTGTCTAAAATCAGACCTGGGTCAAGGCAAAAAGAGGTATCCTTCCTTCTCTTCCCACTCTCTTCTTCTCGAATACCTACTGCATAAAAAATAGCTAGTTCGCTGAACAAGATTTTTAGCAGGTTTACAAAGTGAAGCTGGAGGAGATTAAATGGGCCATACTGCAAGGATGCAACTTTATGAAAAGCTTTTGTCCAACGCAGGGTCCCGTACATCCCCTCTCCGAGTCTTGCTTATTTCCCAGTGAGTCCATCCTTAGCTGTCTGGGCAACATGATAGTGACTGTCTCTAAACTTTTGCCTGAGAAGAGCTGCTTAACATTCCTGGAGATCAGCAGTGACCTCTCTGGAGCTGTGGGCCGGGACAAACACATGGTTCCAAATCTCCAACAGTGATGACACTGCAGAGACTGTGCGAACAGGACCAGGCGTGGAGGCGCAGCATGATTCTGGGCTGCCTAGAAAGTTGGCCAGCAAGGCAAATGCACACGAGTTATGCCAAGCTTCCTCTACCTCAGAAAAAATAATGGCTGTGACACTAGGGGACATTTATATGGGGAGAGGGATCCAGACTGAAATTCTTTAGTTATGAGCAATCTGAAAATTCTCCCACATACTTCCAAAACCAGAAAAGATTGTGTTACCTTGATGTGTCTAAGCTGTAAATCTTCTTCCCCATAATCTTTAACCTCCCCATCTTCTTCTACGTGATTAAGAGAAAGTTTGGGGATTTTTATTTTCTTCTGCATCACACTGTTTTCAAGGTCAGATTTGTCTTCTAAAATGCATGTCAAGAGAACAAGGTTCATTATGAGTCAAAATGAGTCATTATGAGTTCAAAATGCCCCAAACCTCAAATGCTAGAAAATAATTGAGGCCAGACCAGCTAAAAAGGAAAAGCAAACAAATCCAAGGTCTGTTTTTTCCTGCATGCAGGGATCCTAAAAGCAGCAGTCTGCACTAACTTGATCAAACTCTAGGATCAAGGGGGTTTGCTAAAAGAACTACCATACAAAGTGGTGAAATAGCATTCAGTGAATTTGCTTAGGGGGTTCTCTAAGTATATCCTAGAGGGAGGCCTTTTATGGAATTCTAGAATCTTGGAACTGGAACAGCCCTTAGATCGCTATCTGGTCTAAATGGGCATATGAATGAATCCCTCAACAACTGAGATCTTTCTAAGTCAAGTGTCTTCCCAGGAGAATGTGGTGGGTTTCTGCCAACTCAGGTCTAATAGGCATGAGAAGGATAACAGCGCTTATGGCAGCAAGGCCTAAGCTGGAATGACACACAGGCAGACTGAGGTCAGGCAGATACAGGAAGAGTAACAAGTAACATTTCTAGCCTTCTTCGCTGATACCAAATCACAGAATGACAGAGTTTAAGGAACCTCAGTGAGCAAGTGGCCTAACTCTTTTATTTTACAGATGAGGAAACTCAAACCCAGAGAATGGAAGAGGCAGACATACCATCTGAGTCTGAGAAAGAGCCAGGGGTTGGAAACAGGCCTCCAGAACCTTACCCGGGGCTTATGTGTGCTTGTAACACATAGTGAAGTATACCACAAACTGCTACATAAATCAAAAAGATGTTATTTTTCTTCACTTTCTCATTCTTTAAGCTCAACCATAGGTTATCTAAGAGGTTTTTGTTTTGCTTTGTTTTCCTGTGCATGTTTCAAACTGTACTTTCCATATCTGTCTCTCGCTGGCAATGTCAAAAGCAAAAGTTCAAATAGGCAGGCTCCAGCGGTAGAAAGGTGAACTTGCTCTGGAATTGGCCCCTCCTGATAAAATACTTTATGCTGTGGGCTTGAACTGAGACCATAGAAATTACTGTTTCTTATATTCCTCAAAGGTTCCCACTGCTACGTTCTAAATGTCTTTTCTAGCATTCTGTCCAATGCTGGATACAGCACACAGACAGGTAGCTGGTTTTAACCAGTCTCCAAAGGTCTTTCTGTTGAGTCTGAGTGTGTAGGTGTGTGTTAAATGTGCTTTTGTGCTTCTCCCAGGCTAGGCTTCCCTCCTCACAACTTGTTAGTAAAGCTGAGAAGGCTGCTTATTAGCACGTAGCTATTCTAGAATGTACCCAAATGCTAAATCTTCCCCAATGGTCTCAGGAACAGAGCCCCAGCTGGTCAAAGATGGGACTTCAGTATCAGAGAGACCTGAGTGTAAACTTTAGCTTTACTGTGTCAAGGTGAGAAGAGGTAGACAAGGCCTTAGGTCTCTCCTCCATAACAGGAGTTACAGGGGATGTTGGGTTGTGGGGATGAAAGGGATAATTCGTACAACTTACCAAACAGTGCCTGCAACACACTGGCCACTCAATGAATAGTATATTATAATTAATATTATCAATATGCTCTGAGTTATTTTAGGTGAAAAAATACTTAAATTAAAAAACAAAGAAATGATGTAAGTAGATTATGAAATGTAAAGGAACTTCCTAGGAAAAAAAAGAAGTGGTCCTTATTAACAACTCCCTAATGATGAAAACAGCCTTTCCCACAGAGCGGAGGAGCAATGCTTGGGTTCTATTTTCACAAGAACGGTCTGTTCTTGTTCTCTTTGTGCCTATAAAATATATCCACTGACTTAGGGATGAACAGCAGCAAGGACTTTGGTTTTTCTAAAACAGCAATAGCTTCCCTCCTACAAATCATTGACTCTTTCTAAGCCACAAAGCTGCTAGAATGTAAAATCTATATAAAGTGCTTCAAATGAAATTATCCTGAAATGAGGTGTGTGTGTATACATGTGGAAAAAAACAGAGAAGAGAGAGAGAAAGAAAAAAGAACAAGGGGTGGTATTAAGACATCTGAATGTGTTAGGGCAAAGCTTCTAGGCTAGTCTCCAGGTTGACAAGTTCAGGGGCAAAGATTTGAGATGTAGTCACCAAAACAGACAAGACAAGCTATTCTTTGCCTCTCTGAGCTGAAACTGTGTGCGTAGCTCAGGATCATGTTGGTGTGGAAAGAAGTTATCATTCAGACACACAAAACTAGGTAATATCTGAATAGACAAAGATCCTTAGATCATCTCATGTAACCCTTTCAGACTGTAGATAAGAAAAATGAGACTTTAAATGGTGATGTCTGTATATCCACTTATGTAATAATTAGGCCCAGCAATAAAAGAGGGACAAGACAGATAGGGTCTCCATCCTGGAGAGCTCACTGTTGTGCAAGGTCAAAGAAATTAGTGTCATAATATCAACATAGAAAAACTCAGACCACACGATCAGGTCCAGAGCTTTTCTTCCTCTTCTGCCTAACATTACTGAGAATTTACTCTGTAGGATGTAGGCTGGGCCTGGGGACACAGATATGAATGAATACTCTTGTTGGGCACACAAGATAAAAATCCACGAAAAGATAACTCAAGATCTCAAATGCTGAAGTATGAACAAGGGAGAAGTAACTGGGATAGGATTTCAGGAGCAAGGGAGATCACTTCAGGCAGTATAACCATGGAAGGCTTTTGAGAGAGGAGGTAGCATTTGAACCAGACTCCTTACTTGCTGGGTGAATAAGTTATATTACTTCTCTAAGCCCCTTTCCATATCTGTGACTTGAAGTAAATAATTCCTGATTACATTGCCAGAATGCTATGAAGATGATGAATTCTGTATGTGAAGAACTTGGCAGAGTGAATGGCACTTTGACGCTGATGCTTATAAAAGGATAGCCATTGAAGGGTGGTGGGAATCTAGACATGCCAGAGGGAGAAACACAGAAGCCAAGAGGGGAAGGTTGGGAAAATATTTAGTCTGCAGTGGTCTAAGACAGTTTGGTTATAGAAAAATAAGGTGGTTGGGGCTAGAGAACAAATGATCTTGAATGCCAACTTAAGAAGGGCTGAGCTTCCAGTGTTCAGGTGTGGAAAGAACTAGAATTCAGACAACCTGGAGTCCAAGTCCAGTTCTGCCACTCCGTAAGTATCAGAAGTCAGCCAAGCTGCTATCTCAATGACAGGGTCATTTTTCTCTACCTATAGAAATAAATATATGCTCTTAAACAGACCAATATCCAGCACTGAGGTTGAAGAAACAATAAAAAAAACTTCCAACAAAAAAAAAGCCAGATGGCTTCACACCAGTATCTCATCAAAGCTTCAAAGAAGAGCCTGTATCTATACTGCAGGAACTATACCTAAATATTGACAAGGAATAAATCTTCCATAATACGTTCTATAAAGCAAACATTACCCTGATACCAAAACCAGGAAAGGACCCAATTAAAAAGAGAACTACAGACTAATTTCACTAATGAATATTAATGCGAAAATACTCAATAAAATCTTAGGTAATAGGTTGCACCTACATATTAAAAATGTTATATACCATGATCAAATAGGCTTCATCCAAGGGTTGCAAGGCTAATTTAACATACACAAATTCACAAATGTAATTCATGGTATCAATAGAAGCAAAAATAAAGACCATATGATCCTCTCAATAGATGCAGGAAAAAGCATTTGATAAAATTCAGCATCCTTTTCTAACAAGAACACTTAAGAATATAGACATAGTTGGCACATTTCTTAAACTGATTGAAGCCATCTATGACAAACCTACAGCTAATATCATACTGAATGGAGTAAAACTGAAAGCTTTTCCCCAAAGAACTGGAACCAGACAAAAATGTCCTCTATTGCCACTACTGTTCAACATAGTTCTGGGAGGTTCTAGCCAATGGAATCAGAAAAAAGGCTATAAAGGCATCATCCATTAGGGGCAGAGGAGGTCAAACTCTTTGCCGCTGATGATATGATCTTATACTTAGAGAACCCTAGAGACTCAACCACAAGATTCCTGGAAGTGATCAAGAAATACAGTAACATCTCAGGGTATAAAAGCAACATCTACAGTAGCCTTTGCATGTGTCAATAACAGCCAGGTTGAGAAGCTAATCAAAGACACAATTCCCCTTCCAGTAGCTTCAAATACCCAGAAAGATACCTAACAAAAGAAGTAAAGGACTTCTACAAAGAGAATAATGAAACACTAAGAAAAGAAGTAGTAGAAGACATCAACAAATGGAAGAAGGTACCATGCTCTTGGCTAGGAAGAATCAACAGTGTTAAAATGTGTATCCTAGCCAAAACAATCTATAGATTTAAGAACTCCTATTCATAAATGGTGCTGAGAGAACTAGACAACCATAAGTAAAAGACTGAAACTGGACCCACACGTTTCAACACTTACAGAGATTGATTCAAGATGGATAAAAGATTTAAATCTCAGGCATGACATGATAAAAATCCTCAAAGAATGTGGGAAAAACTCTTGAGGACATTGGCCTGGGGAAAGATTTTCATGAAGAAGACTTCAGTGGCAACCGCAACAACAACAAAAATAAATAAGTGGGACTTAATTAAACTGAAAAGCTTCTGCACTGCTAAGGACATAACAATCAAAGCAAACAGACAAACACGTCTTTGCAGAGTGGGAAAAGATATTTTCATGTTATGAATCAAAGGTTTGATAACTAGTATCTATAGAGAACTCGATCAATTAAAAAAGAGCAAACAATCTCATCTATCCCATGGACAAACATTCATGAGGGAGACAGACTAATGGCTAACAAACATGAAAAAACACTCAGTATCCCTAATCAGAGAAATGTGAATCCAAACCACACTGTGATATCACCTAAATCCAGTAAGATAAGCCCACATCAGAAAGTCCCAGAGATGCAGATGCTGGCGTGGATGTGGAGAGAGTGGAACACTTTTACACTGTTGGTGGGACTGCAAAGTAATATAGCCTCTT